TTAAAGACGGAATGCTGGCTGTATGCGCGCACCCATCAAAGTGAACGAACGTGCGAGCATTGCCTCAACTTGAGATATATACACATATATACATACATGTGCATAAGCATATATAAATTTATACACATATATATATTCTGGTTGCCCGCCTAAGCGTGGGTGACGCGCTTTGCTGTGTGGGTTCACGGGGGTTAAGTGAACTAAATGGCTTTGCTTTGCCAGCTTTTTGATAAATCAAGCACAAATATTTACATTGATTGCGCTGCACACAATAACTGTAACAGCTGTTTGCCGTTTACTTTTTGCACAGTTGTTTGTTTGCTGAATGCTTAGCCTTATGTTCTTTTTTTTTTATCTGCTTATTTGTCTTCCGCTCTTGCGCTCACTAGCTTTGTCTCTGTCCGCTGCCAACGCATTTGGGCCATGTATGTAGCTGCAGTTGATACTGAATTGGGAACAGTTAACGGCTGCTCTTATTAGCGTTTATCGCATTCCACGCACATTCGTTGCGCGCTCTTTGTTTTGCTCGTTTCAATCGCGATGCTACGACAATTTTTATTGATTTTTCTGCTCTCACGGGCTTACGCTCACTCGCTCTCGCTCTCTCTCTCTGTCCAGCGGAGCACCAGTGCTCGGGCAGAAAGGTGAAAATTTTCACACACACTTTTCGCATAGTTCGCACTGGTTTTTCCACTTACTTTCTATGCACATGTTTAGCATGGTTTTTGTATTGCGTTTTTCATTAGTTTTCGCAATTAATTCATTTGATTTTCCATCGAAAAATTACTTTTTGTTGCACACGAACGAGCTGGTGTTTAATTGAGGCGAACGATATTTACGTGACTTGCTAGAGCTGGCACAAAGTATCGCAACTATCGAATGAAGAGTCACAATATTTGTGTGAATATTTTACATAACAAGTTAAAATAGTGATGGAAATATGCAGTTAATTAAAATTGATTTTGGTATAATAATTTAATGTGCTTAAACTGAAATATTTCGGCAAAGTTAGCTGCGACAATTCAACGAGAAAACCGCTCATCACTGTTATTGCCAGTGCTGGAAAATGAACAACGGTTTTACTCTCTTCTTGAATGAATTTTGAATTTTCGCGCTGCCAACTTTCTATGTTCGTGTTGCCAACTACTGCAAATGGCGAGTAGCGCGCTGTTTGAGTTTGTAAGCACTAAGCAGACAAAAAAGTTATTTAAAAAACCTGACCTCAATGCAAACTTGTCATTTATTTCTTAGTTTACGACACGAATATCAGGAATATATTGGAATTACAAAACAAAACAAAAAAACATCCTAACCAATGGAGGTCGAACAATCAACTGCGTCTGAAACCCAAACTGCGGATTCAGCTTCCGTGGAAGAGGAGGAGGAAATACCGGCAATATGTATTATGCCACCACGTCCAGGCACAGCCCCCAAGCACTTCCAGGAGCTGAATATACCGCGCGAGCAATTGACGCCCGTTCACTATCCCATCCAGGAGGCACAGCGTTGGCTCACCTTGATGGGCAAGAATGGCAAGGTCTATCGCTTTCCACTGCCCACAATATTGCCGAAGGTCATCCAGACGCGCTTCGTGCCCAAGGGTGAGATACCCAAGGATGTGGCCGTGGATCGTCGCCGCAGACAATACAGCAAAATCAATCTGATCGAGGAGCTGAAAAAGGCCGGACTCACCGACGATATGCTGCAGCCGACCGAGGAGCAGTATAACTTGATGTCCGAGTTCGCCTTTCCGCACAAGTTTCCACTGAGCTTCTTCGATGACAGCAACTATGACATTAGCTCGCCAGCCGCTTGGTTCGAGCTGGGAGTTGTCGGAGATGTCCACTACCCACTGCCGGCCCGCGCCTATTTGCCCTACAACCGGAGCCTGCGCAGCTGCCGCTGGGTCACGGCAGCCGTAACATTTTACAATGAGAAAACGGACCTCTGGACGCTCATCTCGATGGACGATGAGTGCAGCTACGATGTGCCCAAGCTGCAGTTCATGTTCCTCGCCGAGGATCCGCACAAATATATACAGCGTCTCAAATCGGCGGTGCATGAGCGGCACAAGGGCGAGCAGCTGATGCTGATGGAGCTGATTGTGGACTGTGTGCTCCACGATGATATTGAGTCGACCACTTTCCAGAGCTTCAAGCCCATTGAGGACATCCTGGCCAAGTCCACAGTCTCGGAGCAGTGCAAGCGACGCCTGCGCTCCGAGGTTAACATTGTCTTCGAGCGTCTGATGGCGCTCTATGAGCTGGAGCAGTTCATCATACACATGCCCAAGGAGTTTCCCCAATTCCGGAATATCTCGCTCAAGGAATTCATGCCCACTGCTGCCCCCGTGGACTTTGCCGACCAGGAGCGACGCGAACTGCAGGCGCTGGGCATCAACATCAAGGAGAAGCGCTACGGCTGGCTGAGGGCTAGCCTCTTCTACTGTGCCGGCGGCATCGAGGCCATGAGTGGCGTCGCTGGCGAGTGCCAGCACATCGAGACCCTGACCATATTCGTGTGCAACTTCAATAAGCCAATGGCCCTGGTTGACTTCCTACAGGCGCAGGAGACGCACAGCGACAGTGTATCCACCTTCCTGAAGGTCTACTGGCCCCAGCAGCTGACCACTGCGATCACTGTGGTGCTGCGCGCCCTGGGCAAGGGCTGGCTGGACATCTCGCTGAACAATTGGACGGTGTACCAGATGTGCAAGATCTCGCAGTTCATTTTGCAGGTGAAGTTCCGCATGCAGGAGTCGATGGAGGTGCTGCTGCTCTCCTCACTGATGAACTTCTCGAAGCTCGTTTGTGATCCGTGCCATCAGTTCCTGCATCTGAAGAGCAATTACAAGTGGACCAGTAATTTTATCGATACGGAATTTCCCTATCCAAAGCCCGTCTTTGCCCTGACTATTGGCATTAGTGACGATCGCAAGGTTTTCTACTCCACAAATCCGGATGACTTTCAGCCCTCGTTAATGGACATCTTCCGCCGGGGCCTGGAGAAGACATCGGGTGTGCGCACAATTGAGGCGGAAGTCATGAGCAATCTGAAATTCGCCCACAATCTATACATCCTGACCGTCGAACTGATCGAGGATAAGTTTCTGATTCAGAACGAGCTCATGCACGATTGCTATGCCCACGCCGTGCTGCCTCTGAAGGCCTATGCCCGTCACTACGAGCGATTCATTGACTTCTATCTGCTGAATGTCGTTGATTTCATGAAGGACTATGCATTGGCACGCAAGCCCTCGTCGCAGGTGAAATGGGATATACTGGAGTACAAGCGGCAGAAGGAGGAGGTTCGCGAAATATTGCCATCGTTCATAACCATCGGACCGTTCCACATCAATGTGGACAATATGAAGCAGTTCCTGATCAAGAAGTACATTGACCTGGTGCGGCGCATCTTCGAGTATTATGTGGATCGCATGTACGAGTCGACGGAGAACATCATCGAGCGTTGCCAGGAGGTGTTCCACAAGATCGCCCTGCGACCCGTCAGTATCGAGCATCTGTTCGAGATCCGGGACTTTGCGCTGACCGTGCCCGATCGTGTGGAGCATCTGCGTGCCGATATTCAGGTCCTTTGGCTGGAGTACGATCTGCTCGATAGTTTCTTTTACAATCTGACTGATCATCAGTTTGCCATGAAATGGAACGCGTTTGCGTGGCCCCATCAGATCCTGATGCGTTTGTCCACTCTGAAGGAGGAGCAGAAGCTCGATATTGATGAGTTCCTGCGTCAGCACTACAGCGAGTGCCAGGTGTTTGAGGAGCGTCTCGAATCCCTGAACGACGAAGTGCAAGCCTATTCGCTCTGCTTCAATCCCAATCGAGCGATGGAGACATCGGTCGATATCAAACTGACATCGGCCGTGATCCGGGAACTGGAGAAGCTGGGCCAAACGCTCCAATATCGTCAAGAGCTCTTCGAACTGGAGCCGCTGTCCACAGAGTTTCTGACCAGCATCGTCAGGAGCTTTCAGCCCTATCGAACGCTCTGGTATGCCTGCGCCAACTTTCACAAATTGGAGGATGCCACTCTGGGTAATCCCATTGCGCTGATTGAGCTCGATGAGGTGTGGAACAACTTGATGAATTTGCGCAGAGAACTGGTGCAATCGCTGGACAACTTCAGTGAGAAGCCCGAGATTATGGAGGTGGCGAAGGTGTTCATAGGGAAAATTGACGGTTTCGTGCCCGTCTACCAGAGCGTCAAGGATCTGCGCAACGAGAACTGGATTTATTTGCACTGGATGGAGCTGAGTCACGTGATTGGCAACGAGATCAAATACACTGCGGCCATGAACTATCAGTATCTGATACGCAAGGGTGTGCTCGACTTCCTGCCCGAGCTCCACGAGATCTCCGAGCGTGCCACCAATGAGGCCGAAGAGATCAGGCTGGCCATCGAGGAGGAGGAGAAGCGCAAGCAGGCCGAGCTGAATGCCTTGCTGTTGCGCAAACAGTTGCGCAAGTGCCGCAGGGATATCTGCTAGATGATCGCGTTATCTCAAATAACCAGGATCATAACGTCGTATACTAATCCTAGATGATTGCATTTTATTTATCCTACACATAAATCTTATTCAATCAGCGTTAATTGGGATTGAAATAATTCTAATAGAGGAATACCAAATAGATTATCTTCCTAAGTTCCTATTCCTAAATGAGAAGGTTGGTACGGGGACCGAAACAATCCTCTACTGATTTTCAAAGTGATATATAGATTATTACTTTAGTTATTTACACATACTCCGTACTGAAGCTAAATGTTTTTAATCCATATATAAATATTTATATATTTATATAGATCGAAATCGATTATATAGATCGAAATAGACTTGGATCAAGCTTATCGCTTTCAAATTAATCATATTCCACATTTAATCATAGATTCTTGCAAAAAGCTTTTTATTAATTTTATATTAATATTTGGAATGGATATAGTATATGTATGTATATATATCAGTTTCTAATTCATTACCCTGACTAGCTAAGTTGAAATCTTTGAGCTGGAATCATAAGAATTATAAGAGAGATGAATATCAAGTGGGAATCTAGGGCAATTAAATTATTTGAATTGTTGTGCAGCTTGTTCTGCGCCTTGAAGAACATCACGGAGACAGCTAGAGGCAACTGGATATGTTGCTCGGCCGCATCGAACTCGAGATCGTGTCGCTGGCCGAGCACCAGCCTCGCATGCTGCAGGACACTCTGATGGGGCACTCGTCCGTCGAGCAGCGCCAGCTCGGAGACATAGAATTCATAGCTGACGCTGAGCCACATGTTGCGGCAGCTCAGAGTCTGATGTTGGGCATCGTAAGTGACCTGGATGGGCGTCTGGTGGGGCTGGCCGTCGGCATAGCTGAGCTGCAGCGGCAGCCATTTGTCCAGCTGCGGTCTGCCCAGCTGGGAGACGAACACCAGCTGAGCCACTTGCTCCAGCTGGGTGCAGTTGGGTGGCAGCAGTTGGCGCCAAATGGCCAGCTGCAGCTGCTGGCAGTAGTCCGTGTTATTCTCGTGCCCCGGCACAGGCGAGAGGTGCCTCAGCTGGCACTGCTTGGTCAGGTCAATGCCAAAGCTGACGGCGTGGCGCTGCTCCAAGCTCTGGCTGCAGGGCATCAGCCAGTGCTGATTGACTTGGCTGCTCTCATTCTGGCTCTGATAGTAGTTGAGCAACTCCGGTTTGCTGTTGTTCTCGCTTGGCAGCATGGCCAGGAGCAGGGGTGCTCCAAGCTCGTAGCCAAGTGCGCCTGAGCTGGGCTTGGCATTAAGTTCCTCAACTGACTGGTAGACGAGCGCGTAGGTCAGCCACAGCTCCGCCTTGTCATCCTCCACGTTGGCCTCCCTCAGCAGCAGCTTGGCCTCCACAATGCTTGTATAATTATGCAGCAGCTGCAGCTCAATGCGATCCACCAGCAGCTCCGATTGCGTCTCGTTGCGCTCGAGGCACTGGATCTTGGGCTGCAGCAGCAGCTGCTGGCAAATCGTTATGTTCAGGCCATGCACCTGCTGCTCCTCCAGCTCTCTGGGCCGCGAGAGCAACTGATGGCTGTTGGTCAGATTGAGCAGACTCCAGAGATTCATTTGCAATTGCGTGGCATCGGCGAGGAGGCAGCTGCTCTCCATTGGCTGCAGATACAGCAACGTTTGCTTCAACTGGCAGCTCGTGCTCTCATAGGCCATGGGCAGCTCCCAGTTGGCTAATGATTTGCTCTCGGGCTGCCACAGCTGCAGCGCCTGGCCGAATTTGTAGTGGGACGTCGTTGGTGGCGCCGGCAGCGCTGTCTCAAAGGCATCCAACTGTTCCGGCCATCTATTGTAGTCTTTGGAATCGAAGTTTTGGCTTGGGGTCTGGTTAAAAATAGAAGAATTTCATTATTAGATTATATACAATGAAAAGAAATTATGTTATTATTATTATTAATTAATTAATTATGTAATTATTATTATTAT